AGTCTTTATCTTAACTCTCACCCAACACGAGTCACCAATTACCTGCACCACCACCCTCGAGTCCGGAACAATTACCCTGTCCCGTCTGAGCGTGACAGCTCTGATCACGCAGGAAGTAGGGCACTCGGTATCTGGCGCCCTCCGAATATTTCACGTTTGACTTCACATTCCTTTATGAAATGCCCAAGCCTTATTCAGAGTTATTGAGCTGGGCAAACTGCCTTATCGTTGCTGCAAAATCAAGTGTACGAGAAGGTGCAGCCCGATTATTGCGTTAATATTCCCGTACGTGACATTTATATCATACCTTATTACAACACTTGTGCACAATCCTTCAAGAATTTTTCCCCGAAGAGAATAGAAGTTTTGATCTTGTGTCTAATACAGAAAATTTCATTGAAATCATGTTCGTAATTTATGAGTTCTGAGCAAAAAAAGGTTCGTGATATGTTGTCTTTGCTCTCACGGGTCGGTTTCGACAGGAAAAGATGTCAAAGTGAAAGGCTAATGAGATTATATTCGCACATGGCTAAATTTTTGGATCAGACTTGAAAACCGATAGACACTAAATTGGGACATGGTATTCTCGTCTCGCGTGACGGGGATTTATCGCCAATTTTTAAAGAACTCGTTATATTACTAATGACTATTCCACTCAAGAAATTAAAAGCACTAGTTTAAATATACCGACAAAATGCCCCGACCAGAGCGGTGTTTCTCAAAAACTTTATCGCTTTTTCTATCCGATTTTTCTTACCACTTGTACCTCGTGCTTTGAAAATTTTCAGATAAATCCCCTCCTCGTTTTGGAGGTTCGAGTCGGGAATTTCTCGACAATTTCCAAATCACTCGTACTATTACCTATGATAATCTGTACTTCTCATGTGTTTCACGTTTTTAAATATATAGTAAGAGGGCGTTGGAAAAACCTCCAACTTCGCCAAAGTAACAACTTGTATGGTTGTCAACTGTCTGGACAAGTGACGGGCGTGGCGCGCACCTCGAAGAGAAGGTCCAGTGCGGCGGTGACGAGGGCGGAACGTCGCGTGGGCTCCGCTGTTCTTTCATTGAATTGTTCCGACAATTAGAGCTTCTAATGGGTTCCGCGTTTTAAACCAGCCATGTCAAGGTCGCAAGTGTACAAGAGTCAAGGTCGCAAGGTAACAAGTTTATTAGAGCTCGCGGGCATTGCGTCCAGAGAAATTTGCGCGAGATTTAAAAGTAAGGGTTGTAGAAATGCTGCGGAATGGCAGTTCATCACTGGATTCCTGACACATGGCTGTCTTTGGGAGAAGTTAGTTGACAGTTTTTGTGACAAATTTAGCTATGTTAATTCCTATATTCTTTTTAAGGCAAATAAATGATCCATTAAAAATATATAATCCATCAGTCCGATTTCAATCTCTCAATTGAGAGTAAAATTTAAAAAAATGAATCCAAAGTATCATGATTTTGTAATCCTGTTTACTTAAGAGTGATATAAAAGCATGAACTGTTTACGTGCAGGTTAGAAGGTTTAACAATCAAATGTTCTTTTGTTAAAAGCGCTCTCCGTCCGTAAACGGGAACTGTTAACTTACGGAGATTTGTTAATTTGTTTCACATTATTGGCAAATTCAATAAATAACTGTATGATTTAATAAAAACACAAAATGAAAACAAGGGTGAATTCGCCATTCAAACGTTTTCCGGTTACTCAGCAAAGATGTTTATATATGGGAGAATTTAGTAAGAAAATAAACATAAAATAGTAATAAGTAATGACGAATGTAAACATTATACAAATCTCGGTTATCATATGTGGCAAACATATTTTCGTATGACACCACTATTCACAGCCTCGCGCTGCTCCAGCCAGCCCTTTCTGGATTTTAAGGGAAATAAGTGCGGAGTGAGGGGAAGTTTGGTGATCTGGGCTGTCCGGGTGACGCCGCGTCGGAGGCTGTGTTGCCGACGTTTCGACCATGCTGTCGTGGTCTTCCTCAGGGCTGATATATTATATACCAGCCCTGAGGAAGACCACGACCGGATGGTCGAAACGTCGGCATCACAGCCTCCGACGCTGCGTCACCCGGACAGCCCAGATCACCCACATGACTCTGGCCGCGGAAGCCTACGACTTCGTGAGGGGAAGTCGCCCCGTGCTCGTAGAAGCGCCGGGCGAGTAGCTCGTGCGTGCGTGCCTGTTCGAAATATGTTGTGAGAGAGCGGGGGGGGAGGCGCGGCGCACCTCGAAGAGGTAGTCCGGCGCGGCGAGTCCGCGCTGTGAACGTCGCGGCGCGTGGGTGGCGGAGGAGGAGGCGGGCGCGGGGCGGGGCAGCGCGCGCAGGTGCGCCGCGGCGAGCCGGGGGTGTGCGGCGGCGTGAGCAGCCACAGCAGTGAGCTCCCAGGGTGCTGGCGGCGCAGCGGCGGCGCGCGCCGCCCCCGAGCAGCGAGCGCAGCGCCGGCGCGCGTCCAGCGCTCCGTCAGAGGTGGATGCCTGCCCGGCCGGCTCGTACTCCGTGCGGCAGCGGCTGCGCCACGACGCGTACCTGCCGGCGACGGAGCAACGCGGGCCTTGGAATGGCGCACGCCCCTCTCCCCTGCTCTCCTGCCATCCCCCACTCTCCCTCTCTCTCTCTGCACTCGCCCTGCTCTCTCAGCCTGCCCGCCTTTTTATCTTCACACTCTTGCATAGCCCACCTGCATATCCTTCGTCTATAGAATCCGGCCTGCCATCCCAATCTTCAGGCCCGCACCTCCTGCCATCCTCACCGCTCTCACACGCTGCTTTTGCCCTCACCACGCCCGCCGCATGCTGCTACAAGTCCGGCCGCTACCAGTCTTCGAAAGCCCCTCCTCTACTGCTCTCCGGCCCTGCTTCTCAAACCACGGCCCGCCCTGCCATATTCTGCGTCTATGCAAGTCGCCGGCTTCAGACTAGCCCCATAAAAAATAGCCACCAAATAAACTGAAAATAGAGACAATAACTAACCCAACAACAGACGCCTTCAAACAATTACGGAAAGATAAATCCGCCAATCCCCAACCATCTCTGGCACGCACGTTCCTGTCGTCTCTGCACTCAGCCCTCTTAGCCCGTCTTTCCCTTATCGCACCGCCGGGCCCCCTCCTTCGTCTAAATGCAAGTCCGGCTGACATCCCGTCTTCAGCCCAACCGCTCCGCCATCCTCACCTCTCTGCAACCGGGCCCTGCTCTCGGCACACGCCCGCCATGCCATATCCTGCGTCCTGCAAGCCGGCCTGCCATCACCGTCTCAACCCGCCCTCCTACCATCCCACCCTCTCTGCTCTCGGCCCTGCTCTCTCAACATGCCCGCCCTGCCATATCCTGCGTCTCTGCCAAGTCCGGCCTGACATCCCCGTCTTTCCAGCCCAACCTCCCTCGCCATCCTCCTGCCGCTCTCTGCACCGGGCCCTGCTCTCGCAACACGCCGCCATGCCATATCCTGCGTCTCTGCAAGTCCGGCCTGCCATCACCGTCTTCAACCGCCCTCCTGCCATCCCCACTCTCTCTGCCTCTCGCCTGCTCTCTCAACACTGCCCGCCTGCCATATCTGCGTCTCTGCAAGTCCGGCCTGCCATCACCGTCTTCAGCCCGCCCCTCCTGCCATCCCACCCTCTCTGCACGCACGCCTGCCGTCTCTGCACTCGTGCCCTGCTCTCTCAACCTGCCCGCCCTGCCATCTTTTTACACTCTGCTAGCCCGCCCTGCCAATCTCCTGCGTCACTTCTCTACGCCCTGACTCTCTTGCACTTTTAATGAATTGTCGTAGGCTTCCGCGGCCAGAGTCATGATCTGGGCTGGCCGGGTGACGCCGCGTCGATGGCTGATGTGCCATCGACCATCACATGGCACATCAGCCATCGACGCGGCGTCACCCGGACAGCCCAGATCATCTCTACACTTTGCAAGTCCGGCCTGCCATCTCCCGTCTTCAGACCACCCCTCCTGCTATCTCCATCTGCTCTACCATCCCCACACCGACTCCTCCATCTGTGCCCTCTGCCCCCTCCACATTGGCTGCCCTCCCCGCTGTCACTGCCGGCCATGATCTCCCTTCCCTTGCGTCTCACGTGTATTGTGGGTTGCATTTTGTTTGTTCATGATAGATACCTGTAGAGGTGCTAGGAGGTGACTTATAACCACAGAACGTGGTGTATTTCGTAAGTCGCCTATGGACCGTTCTAATATTTCGCACTTATTAATTTTTTTTAAATCAATATTGATTTTTTTCACTTTAATTAAGCGCTATCGCGAGGAAAACTAATAATATGACAATTATGAGCTGTCGAAATGCAGGGCAAGAGGAAATGGAACTTTCAACGAAATAAACCACGAACTCGCTTTTGTGTTCACAATTTTCATTTCGAGAGACCAAAATTTGAACTTCGGTGCCCTGGGGCGGAAAGTTAGTTCTGAATCGGAGGATTTAGCTCGCGCAATGGGCTGAATGGTTGTTGTACGTGTGCTAATGCAACCTAATAAACAGTGCTCTTTACTGTGGCATCCATGCCGTTTTACGCGTTAAGCTTATTTAAACATTCTGATGTTCTGCTTCTAAATTGCATCTCACACGCCGGAAGTCTCTTTCAATCCTTACTCCTCCAAGTTAATTTTACTGATACAATCAATTTTCCATCTCATTTCACATGCCGTGAAATCGTAAGATATGATTGATCATTTCGTTTCCAAGCGCATCTACCACTATGGTCATAACCGCTGTGCATATTATACCCCGGAAGGAGATAAGTGTTCGTCCCCCTGGAATGTGATATTCGTCACCGACCTACGGGTATGCTAGCGGGATTTCCCCTTTCCTGGTGTAGAGGGATTACTATAAGAAGAGAGAGCTTTGACAGCGTCAGCTTGGCCACTGCTACGTCCATGCGCACATTTTATCAGAGCTTTTGCTTATAGTTATCTCATTGAAAATGGCTTCATCATTATCTCGGGCAATGCCATCGCTGTGCATGACGTTCATTTGTTTCCGTAGCTGTCAAAGTGGTCCCTTCTTAGAGTAACTCCTCTCTATCTCCGCCTGCTGGAGTGCCGTGGGTTTTCGCCTGCGAAGACCCTCGTCGCTTTCGGAGGGATGTCGGTGGTGCGGTGCACCCACTCGCCTGTAGCTGAAGACGGCGCTGGCGAAGAGCGTGAGCTTGACGTCGGCCGCGAGCGGGTCCCTGGCGACCAGGTGGCGCAGCGCGTTGGCGCGCACCTTGAGCTGGCGCCAGATGTCCGCGCCCAGCTCTCCCAGTTGGTGGTAGCGGAATCCGTTCTCCTCCTCCTCCTCCTCGTCGTCGTCGTCGTCATCGTCGTCCTCCGCCTCGCCCTCGCCCTCGACGCCGACGCCGCCGGCGCTGCGCCGTCTGACGCACGCCATGGCCAGGGGGGCGCTGCTCGCGCCGGGCGCCACGCCCGCCCGCCCGCGCCCCGACGGAGCGTTGCTGCGGTTGCGCCGCATTGTTCCACGCGGCTTCTCCGCCCGCCACCCGGTGCGGCTCGCCAACGCCGCTCCATTGATTGATTGATTCACTACTAGTGATCCCGGGCGCGTCGACCGCTAAGGTCATTAGTCCCATAAATGTAATTTATTTTTTGCGACGCATTGTTCCGCGCAGCATTCCCGCGCGCCGCCCGCTGCGGCTCGCCAACGCCCGCTCCATTGATTGACTGATTGATTGACTACTAGTGATCTCGGGCGCGTCGAACACTATGGTCATTAGTCCCATAAATGTAGTTTATTTTTTGCGCCGCATTGTTCCGCGCGGCTTCCCCGCGCACCGCCCGGTGCGACTCGCCAACGCCGTTCCATTGATTGATTGATTGACTACTAGTGATCTCGGGCGCGTCGACCGCTAAGGTCATTAGTCCCATCAATGTAGTTTATTTTTTTCCTCTGGAGGTGCCGATAATTTTGCCCCGCTAGATGGTGAGATCCGGCGCCGCCATACCGTAGACTATCGGGGTTTTCCTCAACCAGGTATATCCAAGCAGCGGGGAGGGGGGCGCCCCAGCTGGGACAATCTCTAAGCTTCTGACCGGTCTCCGGGCGAGTGTGGCAGTGTGCTGCTTATAAGTGTATGTAAGGGTGAGGATAGGTCAAATAATGGGAAAGAAAGATCGCGCGCGGTTCGTGCCCCGTTTGTTAGGGTTCTGAGATCCGGCGCCCATATACCGGCGATGAGCGGGGTTTTCCCCAACCAAGTATCTCCCGTCTGGGGGAAGGGAAACTGCCCCGACCGGGACAACTTAAGTTTCTGGTCGGTCTCCCGGCGAGTGTGGTGAGGATAGGGCAAAGAATGAGAAAGAAAGATCGCGCGCGATTCCTGCTCCGTTTGTTAGGGTACTGAGATCCGACACCGACATACCGGCAACGAGCGGGGTTTTCCCCAACCAAGTATCTCCCGTCTGGGGGAAGGGAAACTGCCCCGACCGGGTCAAGTTTTAGCTTCTGACCGATCTCCCGGCGAGTGTCGTAGTGTGCTGCGTATAAATGTGTGTAAGGGTGAGGAGAGGGCAAAGAATGGGAAAGAAAGATCGCGCGCGGTTCGTGTCCCGTTTGTTAGAGTACTGCTCCGGCAGTGTCTGGTGTTGATCGGAGAAACCATGGAAAACTACTGATCAGAGCAGCCGGCCGCTAAAATTCTCGTCGAGACAGCGGGTGAACTCGGCCTAGCTATCTAGCCGGTGTCGAAAATACTGCCATCGTCGGGACTCGAACCTGGAACCTTCCGTTCAGAGGTGCTGCAGAGGCTTCAGTTGATGCCCTTAGCCACCTCTCCCGGTTACGAGCGTCGCTCGCCACGTGGCTTTCGCCACATACGTGTTGGGAGAAACCAAGGATTTTTTGACAAACGACTGACGCAAATTAATAAATCATCCGCTCATTGATAATTTTGCGTCTAAATTAATGGGTCGTAAATTTGGTGATGGAATAACAACATACAAAGCAAATTACAAACGTTTATAATCTGACGTCTCTGAAAATTATTTAAAGTCAACTATTCCATGAAAATGAAATATGAGCAATGCAAGAAATATGGAGAAATGCGTGTAGAACTCCAGATTAGAAAGGAAATGACAATGGTTACGCCTCTGAGCTAAATTCAAAATCGCCTGTTTCTCGCCCAATAAATGCCTCTTTCTCTACTAGTTGGTGAAAGGAGCGTAGCGAAATTTGCGTGGTCAGACGGAAGAGCGAGCCTGATGGCCCGAGTCTCGCCAGGTAAAAAAAAGCATTAATTCAATTCAGTTCGTCTATCATACAGCGCATTCCATTCATTTTCCATGTATCCATTTTACTTTGGCTGTTTTTCAGAAAAAAATACTCGGGGTTGCAAACGGTCTCCGATTTATGATATAAATTTATAGATATATAGAGATAAATATATAAGTTGCGGTCACGAGAAGAAAGACTCCTCTAAAATTACTCGTGCTTTGCAGTATTCACAATGAGTTAATTGATATATTTATGGGTATTATGTAATTCACTGTGTATTTACTTCAACCCCTTGAAAGATAATGTATTATCGAGCAAGGATAAATAAATTATTTTAAAAAAAAATGAATCAATCCAGGCAACTGCAATGGTAATGGATGAACGAGGTTTGTTTGTGAGAAGAAAATAGGGGGCAACAATGGTAAGAAAGGAAGTATACTCACTGCAATGGAGCACTCCCAGACGAGCTCATCGAAGGAATCTCCAGGAGAGTCTCCAGGGGAGACGTAAACCTGCTATTTTGGTTCGGCGGAGCTCAAACATGTCTGACTTGCAGACTGGACCCCTTAGGAGGCCCTAAGGTCTTAATTCCTCTTTGTGAGGGTGAATTGTCCATTCCCAAGTATAGCTTAAGAGTATGCAGCCAAGTCTAAACGTTATGTCTATATGAATATATAATAGTAATCTATGTATTTTTTAATGGAAGAGATACTGATGAGATATTCGTAATTAGTTAAATTGGTTTTTAAAGCATAGTATAGTATATAATATAGGCTCCGATAATTTTGTTCTTCCATGCTTACTGTAATTTGTTATAATTTCTTGCTGATTAGAAAGCCAAGTTATGTTAACTTAATTCTACTCCGGAATGATTACGTGCCATTGACAGATTCAAAGAAAAATGTTTTTGTGTATTGTTTTCTCATCCGTCGTTCCGAAGTTGTTGGAACTTTTATAACAGAACATTCATTCAACAAGCAACAATATATAATTTTATTGATAAAGTCATTCTAAGAACCATTGTTTAATAACCCTTTTTTCGTATTTTGTATTGTTAAATATTGTATTATATAAATGTATTGAGAATTTTCGTATTTTGTATTGTTAAACGATTGGTTGCCAATCTTCATTAGAGCTTGATCAAACCGAGTTGGAGTTAATACGTAAAAAACAGTTGTTAGTAACACTTAATTGTTTGTGGGCGTCTTCCTCACCCACCAGTACTTCTGGTCTGCAAGAAGCAAACCGTTTCCACACTGCATCTCTTTACCCATAAATTAATAATAGCTTACCCCAAATTGTGTGATCACTTCATAATCCATCATTATATAATGCTTTCTGAAAATTCTAATTGTCCCTTCAATAATACTCCAAGGAAAAATCGCTGTTTTGTACGATTTTAACTACGCCATGTGCACTTCAACTCATAAATATTCTTCTGCTGTGTTACCCGTAATGTATCAAATTGAGTTAAGAAGAAAAATATTTAAATTTGTAGATTACAATATAAAGAAGCTTCTTGCCACTGTCTTATCTAAATAATGTGAAATATAACGGATCTCATCAGTGTTTGGAAAATTGTTCATTTTAATTGTTGTTTATTAAATGTTTAGAAGAACTGTATAAACGTATGTTTATATTTCATTCAGTTCAATGCGACCTTACGTAAATTTTTCTTCTGCATTTTTTCCGCGAAATATTATTTGATGCACTAGAGTGTCCGTACTTCTTCTTCGGCTCTTCGACCTTCAAATGAAATACTTGACCTACTCAACTATCCTTTTCCATTTTCCCTATTCTGCGAGTGCTCGATCTAATTTCAATCTTCATTTTCCTGATGTCTTTGACATCATTATCTTTCCATCTATTTGTAGGCCTTCCTCTTCTCCTGGTGTACACTGGATTCCATCAAAAGATCTTGTTCACCATTCTGTCAGGCGACATCTTGATGACCAAGCCAACTTAATCTCATGTCTTTGATAAAATTTAATGTTTTTATGTTCTTGTGTATGTCCGATTTGGATTTTTTCCTAATCCGCCAATCTCCTTTTGGACATTTTAAGTGGTCCAAATATCCTCCTGATAATCCGTCTTTCAAAAGCCGACACCGCGTATCCTTTTGTTGTATAGTCCACGTTTCTGCGGCATATGTTACAACTGGCAACATATGTTACATTTTCTCGTACAGTCCTAGTTTTGCGCCCTTCGATAAAATTTTACTTTTAACTAACTGCAAATGTGCGAAATATGTTCTAGTTCCCGCTACTATTCTTGTTTTTATTTCTTCTTCCACGTCATTGTTGCAAGTAAAAATTGCTCCCAGATACAAGAGCTTACTTTTTCATAGCCTGTATTGGTAGAGGTGTCCATATTACACTACTATTTGCAGAGAGAGAATTTGACTGTGCGTATTAATTGAAACTCGAGTTGGCGTTGCCACCGATCGCGCTACTAGTTAACTTTACAGTGTCTGCTCAATCAGATCCCTCGCTCTGTCAGCTGGTCGCGCGAAATTTTTGCGTTTTTTCTCCGAAACGCCTGGGCAAGTTGCCCTGCGAACACTCATACGTGGACACGGCTTGAACGACAACCTTCAAATCGAGTTCCGAGCAACCCCCGGATTGTTGGAAAAAATTGTGGCAAAACTTACCTTCTTTGACGTCTGGATCTGAAGTTTAAGCAATGCTTAGTTAGTAGCTACGTTTGAACTATTGTGATCTAAATGGTCTGCCCCACATTTCGTCATAATCCGTAATTATATAATTTGTATCATTTTAAAAAATTGTTAAGTGATTATCGAGGGTAGTGCCTTTAATAACATGGATTATTTTTGGTGTAATTGGAGATTTATCAGATGAATAGGATAACTTTATTCAACATAATTGCGATGTTTGCATTAAAGGCTTGTCTTTTCGTAAGAAGTTATTTCAAACGTATTGCTAATTGAAAATGTGCGGCTCATTGGAAGTGCTGTCTTGTGCAGTTGAGTGAAATATGTGTAGTATGTCATTCAATATAGTATCACAATTTGATTCAACTGTTATATCTACGTACTACGAGAAAGAATGCGCTGTTTTGAAAGCAGCATGAGTTTTATGTAATATTTCTGTGTTTACAAAGTACAGATATAACGTAATTGGTATTCAAAAATAGTAGAAATACTATTGTCTTAGGCCTTCAATGACTGTGCGTGATTTAATGCAGAAAAGTAAGAAATTAGTTCCCAAGAATATTACATAGGTATAAGTGTCATTCGTAAATTACAGTCATAAATTTATTTCAAACGGTCACTTTCCACAAACTTCTTTAATTATTCTTCGACGTATGTGATTGTTGTCTCTTCAAAATTCGACCTTTTACTTTGGGTTACAACTGTAAGATGATCCCATTGAAAACTCAACTGTTCTCTTTTGTTTTTCAATTCCTAACCAAAATCTGAATTCTCCAAATCTCTCATGTAATTTCAGGCGTGTCAAAAATGTTTTGAAATTGACTGACCCACTTTGCTGAGAAAAGAAGTCATCTTTTTGAAGGCCGTCCATAAATTACCTAACACGAATTTGGAGTATTTTCAGTTCCCCCCTTAAATAATTACGTAACTCTTGCGGCAACCCTCTCCCCACCCGCCTTTGTAGGTGAAAGAAGTGCAAATAAATTATAGCACGGTAAAAATTATTTGTTTGTATTTCACTTGTGTTGCTGCATGTTAAAGTAATTAATGATAAAGTAGAAATTAACTGGCGATGCTGCCTGCACTTAACTATAAGATTGGGACAAGTTGAGAGCGAAGGAAAAATGCTTGGGACAGAAATGTTCGATCACAAGCTATGTACAAATCGTCGTGGATGATGCAAGAACGAGAGTCTATAGCGCCAATTTAAATGGAGTCGAGAATGTATTTCACATCAGTTCTGAATATTTTCTTCGTAATCTTTCAGACTCAGAAAAAGTTGATATGGTATTTCCATTTATTGTAACAATTTACAACCAATAACTTCAGTTTGTTTTTAAGACAAATTATTAATTAATATTTTAATGTTTTAGAAGAGGACTCAAAACAGGAATTATTTCAGCAAATGTTGAAAAATGTAAAAAACGTATATCGATGTTACGTAACACTTAATACCCCCTACCCCTTCGTTACGCAGCATTACACTGCCTCAGGCTCCCTCCCCCCTGTTTAGCGTCCCGTAATTTATGGACGACCCCTTAATATTTCGTCATAATGTTACCTTTCATTTATTCGATTTGTTGTATATATTCTGATTGCTGCTACGGTTTTGCTTGGAAATTTTTTGATTTGTAAAACAACACATTACATGATTGTATCTCCACACGAACAGAAACAATTTTTTCCGCACTATTTTGAGTATCTCCTCTATGATGAGTCAGTTTGAAATGTCCGGTGTGTACGAGAATGATCATGACAATATAAAAAAATAGAAAATAAATTAAATTAATTTAAAATCTAATAGAAACACGTGACTACAAGGGCCGCTCGAACATGTTTACAATTATTTGTTGTTTTTTGTGTAGTCAAAATATTGACAAACAAATAACGTAACGCTTCTCAGTATTTAATTTCTTCTGTCTCAATGGGGACTTGCAAAAAGAAATATGTTATGAGTTGTTAATTTTATTGTAGAAGTTTTGCATTCCAATACAAACCTTATTTACCAACGTTTTCATTTGTGAGAGAAGATAATTGAATAAAGAATCTTCTCCCGTGTTTGTAGATCTTTCGTGTTGAGGACTTGCGGCAGTAGATTCCTCTCTCTGTTTCCAAGCCCATGATGATGCTGGCCACATTCTTAGTTTGTCGGTAACGTCTGGAAACATTCTTTAAAAAGTGAAGTAAAGTTAATCGTTTGAACAACAACAACATAATATTGAGTTTTTTCTCAATCATGTCACATTCTAACCTCGCATCGAATCCTCTATGTCCTTGTAGTAGACCCTCATTTGGTGGCAGAACCCCGCATGACGGTCCATCGTAACTGTGAGACACGACTTAGTAAGTACTCTAGTGATTCATCGTTTACCCAATAATTATATATTTCTCGATCGTTGAGATGCTTACCTTCCCTCAGATGATGGATTCGCCAGCAAACTACTCATCTCTGTGTGAATGTCCTCTTCACTGTCCGGCGCGGATCTGAAACAACGATATTTATTATGTTGGTATTTGTATTTATTTATTTACGTCAAAAACAGTTAAAAACTGTGTATGACATGCTACGGCACCAGTTGGTGGCGCCTGTTGGTTGCCTTTAGGGTGAGCAACGTCGTTCACCTCTATCTCATCTCTCCCCATCCCCACTCTCTTCCCCCTTCCTCTCTCACTCTCACGTCCATAAACGCATGCACACATTACGTACATACGTTTATATTTACTGTTTTGAATGTAGTTTATGGCAAGCGTTGGTTCATTTTCTGCATTCAAGATCCTATCGTGAGGAATTTCATTGCTTAACGCTTTGTCGCTAACTGATGTATTTCCAAAAGTACTTGTCGAAAATAGATCACTCCGACTGGTGCTCTTCAAAACTAATTAAAATGTACGCAAATTTTTTAAATGTATTCGGAATTTTATATACCCCCGATGGGACCCGTAATTCCAATTCCTTGAAAATACATGAAAATGTGAATATGCCAGCAGGTGACACAAACATTCATAATACAACACGTACAGAAATGAACTGCTCCTCTGGAAGAGATGAGAGGACATTTAAGTGGGCAAGGATCCCAGCGGTTTTTCAGCGAATGTCCTCACTCTCTGATAAACTCCAACAAATCCAATGTTTTATCTTCCGGACGAGGCATTCATAGAGAGAGTCACTACTCCTGCACAGTAATCGTCTACCGAGTGCTTCAGGGGCTCCGTACGTCACCGTTATCCCCCCTCTGAGCCTAGCTTAGGGTTTCGTGGAACTATGGAAGTCAGATCTCTGGCGAAATTAATACTTGAACTGTTAATATTTGTACATCGTTTCGCTGTTTGTATCGAAAGTTAATTTTGTAAGACTGCACCGCGTCTAAGGAGAAAAGTAGGCATGTTAGACGTGTTTCGTGTGAGCGGATAACAGATCATCGATTATAAATACGAGCACTAGAAACCAAAACTGTCCTCCACGAGGAACGAATCAATTGCAGTGGTATGTACGAGAATTATCTGTGAGGGCGTTACGTTAGAACGTGTCCCTTTTTTAGATTCATGATTATAAACTACGAGAAAAAGCGTTCCCTGTGGATGATAGTTGACGTATAAACGCAGAATGTAAACTGACTAGGCCTTCTTTAGGTTGCTCTGCTACAGAAGTGTGCTAGCGCAACTGCGTTTATCTTACTCTGGGAATCTGGCAGAGAGCTTTTCCATTAATAGTTCTGGCAGGTCTCGACGCGTCGTTTCTAATTCTCTGATCGATGATCTGAAACATTCAAAATTTTATAATGCAGGCCAATGTTGTTCGCTGATATTTTCAGCTGATTGTCATCTCTGATTATTATAAAATAGTTATTTACTTGAGTAATCGACGCGTGTAGGATACATCATAGGGTTCTTCGCTTTCTGGTTTTATTTGGTCCATTGAGATCCTGAAACGAATCGAAATGTTGAAAATTGTTCTGGAATAAGATACCTTTTTAGTTGTTTTTTTGTTTCTCGAGCAAGTTAGATAGCATCTCACCGAAAGCGTTGGCTTGCGTATGGAGAATCCATCAATGCTTCTCGGGTGTCCGAAAGATCCTCTTTTCTCTTCATCTCTGATGATCTGGAATGGAACGCAGTTATTAAAAATGAAATGAAAAATAAACCTGTATTCGTAAATCCCAAGCGGGTTGTGTAGTTCAAGACACAGTCGTATTACAAATATGATGATGATTATGATAATAATAATATTAATAATTATTATTATAAGTTAAAGCACTAAAAGATTATTCAGAGTGATTACTCATTATACATTTACAGAATTCTAAAGTAAGTAATTAGGACGTGCAACACTCTCTCCATTTACGCAACAATTTACAGCTGATGGAGATCTCAATTTGTTTTACTCACATCCGGGTTTGCTCTAATTGGGAAAGTTTGGACTTGAAATTTCACTTGCCAAGACTACCAGGTGCATTAGTAAGATTTTTTATTTTATTTATTTACGTCAAAACAGTTAAAAACTGTGTGACGTGCTAAGGGGAGAAGTTAATTTGAAGTTGCATTTATGTCCAGAAGCAAAACAACGCGCCATTTCAGCATTTGCTCGAGGATCTGGGACACTGGACTAATACCTGATCGAGAAAGGGGTTATTGACCCAGACGCTGAAGTTCAATACTGGTTGTAGGTTCTGTAGAATTATAAAATCCAAATGGTATATAATACATTATGTCATTGTTAAAATTAATATTATTCATTCAGTATCATTATGAAACTCTCAGGCTTTACCGTTGAACCCAATCGTACAATACTAATCGTTCTCAAACGATTCATCAAACCCTATCCAGAATGTTGTTCTTGTCAAGTTCCTTGAAGGTATTGTAACTTGATTGCGTTTTACGTAAAACGTGGTCCTTATAATTTCAGTATTAATAATTCTCTAATTATTTTTATATTTCTAGAATCGAAGTTTGCTACAGAATGTCTACTTTGTTTTGATCTTCTGCCCCTCTAATCTATCTCTCATCTGAATATTAAGAGCTAACATTTCTGTACATTGGTGCACCAGTACCCGAGTTCCAAATTTTATTGAATAAATCTACAGCCCTTTAATTTTCCAGTGATTTTCTAGACTGACAAAAAAACTATGACGGCTCAGAAAAATTCTGTAGTAGAATGCTGATTTAACTGAAACACTCTCCGTTCAAGGCCTCCCACTCGAAAGGTGGTGGGGCTCGTTATGTATCTCTTCTAAATGGCCCGCGTTACAGCAAGAATCAAGTGCTGTTACCACTACTATTCACAATGCCATTAGGTTCATATCATCACTGTTCGTTTCGTTTTTATAACTATTTAATGCACTCGTCATTTTATTTTAAATTGCTTTACTAATCCCATCACTTCTTTACTCTTGTCGATAAGTCGTTTAGCCTGCGCTAAATTCTCATTAGCGAGTCTTCTTCTGACGTCCAACATTTCTTTCCCATTTCTGAGGTCGCATGCTTGAGAATGAATACTCAAAATAATTCTGTGATTTGTATAGATATCTCTGGCTATTCAATTCTGAGAGTTTATCTTTGAAATTAGTTTAGTATGTAGTTTCTAGTTCTGGGAATGTATTTTTTGTGTGCACTCAAGTAATTCGCATCCTTGTGGAGCAAATACGTCAGGATTGAATACCGTTTAGATTCGCTAACAGATGATCGCTGCGTCAAAGTTTGATTTGATTTCAGACCTTCAAATGAAGTTCTGAAAAAAGGAGAGGTACGAAAAACATGTTTTTTCCTCGGTGTCAATACGTAACACTTGAACATTTTTTACTGTAAAAGCGATAGAACTTGTTCCTAAAGAATGGAAAATCATAGAATATTTTACAGACCAATAGATTTATTCAAATTTATCGGACAATACTCACTATTAGGAAATACTCCGTTCCGAAGAAAGTTATGAAAACGAGAAAAAAATTGTTTTTACATTCAATAAGTTTGTTATGAAAATTTATGTTGCACCGCCGTGATAAAGAATGATAAAACAAAGTAAATACAAAGCGTACAAATTAAATTGTGTAAATTAATAGGATAAATTTAGAACAGAATAAATTTAAAAAAAGAACACGTGTTGGCTTACGTGAAGAGTTCTTGTGGTGGCTCGGATTCAGGATCGAATTCCTGCATTTCCGATTCAATTTCTTCTATTTCTTCAGGTGATGGCCTGTGAAACGATGTTCAGTTATTCCCGGGAAGCAAGTGTAATATTTCAAAGTCTATCGCCATTTTCACTTTCATGAGAGGACTAGTCTGCTTTACCCAACCCTTCTCTGGACAGGCATATCAAAAATATAAAGGAGGTTTTCTGAATTCTCATACTAGGAGATAAATAGACCCACACATTTGGTATCGAATTGTTTGCAGCAAGAACAACCTTTGTTAAGAAACGAAAATCGTTTAAGATACGTGAAGTTTCAATTTTGATGATAAGGAAAGAGTACGCTAATTTGTTAATTTAGTCAGTTGAAAGAGCGCATTATAATCGTCTTATTTTCTACATTCGAAGTTTTAAAAGGGATTATTTGAAAAATCTTAAAATTATTAACTTGAGCACAGTCGGAAGCATAATATTATTTTCGATCCTGAGTAAAACCACCTGATTTTATCTTTTCACGTCCCGCAAGTCGTCAAATGTTTAATAGGCTTGCTCTAATGGATATTCTCAGCGCATTCAGAAACACTGAAGACGTTGAAAGCGTTGAGATGAAACTCCCCATGGCTCGTACCCGGGGTGCTCGCGAGCGACGAACACGTCCATGAGGGAGCCCGCCGCTTCTCTCCGCGCCCCGCGACACTCCTCCGTCGCCCTGCGAGCGCAGACGGAGGCGGAGCGTAAGTAGGGACGTGGCCTCCCCGTTGAGTACACGGACTACATTAGAATTTACCACGTACAGGTTCCCACAGCCCAGCGCGGGAGATCCGCAGCCTACGCGGAATGACCGCAGCGGAAATTTCGCGTCACGTGTTGCCTTTTGAGCACGTTCAGACCTGCGCGGCAGCAGATTGGCAGCGTTTTCTTACCCGCCAATTTGGTAACGCAGTCAGGCGCGTTTCGGCTTCTGCCGCTCGAGTTTTGTCGAAGTCTGTCTGCCTTAGAGAGTCTTCGCTCCCCCTGGATCGAGTTCCCCTTGCTTTTGTTTATCGGACGAGGAAAACTGTCACCGGCTGAATCCTAATTGACGCTCCGGTGTGAACGGTCCCGCGGATTCCGCCGCCGCGTCTAACGCGAAGCGTTCCGCGTCGCACCCGCTGCGGATCTCCCGCGACGGTCTGTGAGAGCCTTACAGGTGATTCAAAGTTTCTTTGCTCTCTGGATAACCGGCCTAGGCTCTATATAGAGCATAAAATAGCATTGGATTACCATAAATGGATTTATTGATACTCTCTCAGCGCTAAATTCAAATGGAAATAAAATTCAAAAAGAATTGCTTTGTCTTAGTACCCTGGAAAATGCTGGAGAGAACTTGTGTTAACCATGATGATGCCATTGGTACGAAAAGAAATTTTTAATTCGCCTTCCTTGTGAATTTTCCAAAGAAAGATTTTACTGGCTGGAATGTTGCACGTATCGTATTTCAAGCGCCCATGCGCTCGACACTGCGGACGGAATTATAAAACAGCGAGTGTCTCGGAGACAGAACGCTAAATGTTTTACTTTCACCGTTTCCTCCAGGGCCATTTCGTAGGGCGGAGCAGGCCTCATCTGGCCGTATGTACCAAAAGTTTTGACACCCCGGAGGGCGTAATCGTGCTTCACTGGCCGGAACGATTAACGATTTTGCCAGAACAGAATATCACACACCCCTTATCATACCAAGACGCAGCTCATTTTTTTTATGTCCGAAGAAAATTTGGTATCATATTATATATTTATAAACATAGTCTGCAATTTTGAATCGGTATTCAAAGTGGATGGCGCAATTTTCGCGTAATTTGCACTCGTGCTAGAAAGGAATCCATTGGAGAAGAATTCGTGGAGATATGTCCCTGTTAGTTTTATCAGGCTGAATTTCTCATAGATAAACGCAGTGGATTCGGCTGAGGAAGTATGAACCTTATTTTCAGACACTCCTGCCTTGTCGCTGTACCATAACATAATTTCACAAAAATTACACTTTTTGGGAATTATTTTTATGCCTAACTGGGCAGCGTCTAACTTGGACGATGCAGTGACAATATAGGTTTAGCTCGTAAAATTCCTAAACTTCAGCCTCCGTGTTCAAATCCCAACCGGAGCAAAAATTGTTGGAGGTTGCAAGCACTCCTGGAAACAGATGTTAGGCAATGAGGCGATCTCCAAATGAAGTAAACGTCGCTGCTTGCGACATCATACTCAGTCCAGTTCAAATGCATAATTTGGGTAGAGTTCAGATAGAATTATAATATTGAGAAGACGTTAGAAATAATAGGACAATGTATGTGTTGCTCGGATCCCACATGTTCTTTCACAACTAAATTGATGTATTCCCAACCTGAGGTCTTTGAACTGTCTCGGGAAATCTCTGTCTGGTCTGGGCGAAAAGTCCCTGAAAATAAACAAGAATAATTTAATTAACCACTTTTCAAGTAAACTTGATATTTATATAATGCTATGTTGCTCATTACTGAAACGCACAGTGATAGAAATGTAATTGATGAATCTGTGTATCTCGAATACAAATAAAGGATACTATGAAGGTCTATGCAAAGTGTCCTAATTTAATTGAGATTTAACAAGTCAACGAATAAATATTTACAACTAATAGAACGCATTTAACATTACAGAAACTTTTAATATCGACAAGAAAATCATATGATCATTAACATTGATTAATTGTGATTAATCCTTGAGCAATAATTCTTATTCTGTAATGCATTTATTGAGTCATGGAAATAACAACATTAATTTGTTCTTGCAACACTGCAAGAATTTGATTATTCTGAGTATTGCAAAGAATAGTACCTGATGTTGCATTCAAAGTCTTGAATGTATCGCTGGACATGTGGTCGGATTTCTTCTAGTTCTCCTGATGGAGTTCTGCAAGAAACCATTATAAAATGTACGAATCAGACAGCATTGGATACTTTTACCCCATCCCTCATTCAACTACCAAATGGTGTCTAAAATAGAGTTCACCATTTTTGAGGATGCTGCCCTCAGAATAAGTCGAAACGCACAATAAAAGGAGAAGGAAATGCCGTTGCGCTTCCCCTATTCTAATGATAATGAGTTTAGGTGGCTCAAGTTGATTTTCGACGTCTCCCCTGTTCTCAGTCTCGCTTCCCTCGCCCTCTCCCCTTTCCTGCACTCGTGGTAGCGACCGTCCAACATCGTTTAACCAACTGCAGGGTTTCTTTTGGGAGGGGTGCCACGGAGTGGACGGTGAGGAGGGAAAACGTCCCGCCAAAATAATTCGACTGTACTACGGTGGTCAACCAGTAAGTAGTGATGGTCCATAACGTGGTCCCAGAACGAGAGAGAGAGAGTTTTAAAGGTGATCACTAGGAGGCGGATTTTAACTAAACGTTAATTTTTCACTTTAGAACAATGCCGTTTAGAATAGAAATTAATTTTATGGTGTGACAATGACCCATTTTTATGTGTTTGCATTTTTCGTCGATTGCGACTAATAAGTCATTTTTACCTTCCCCCCTCCTCTTGCGTTGTAATGCCTTTCTCGCGGATGACATAGTTTTTATTAGCATTTTAAGGGTACTTGCTTCAAATAATATTTACGAGATGTACCAAATGTATTCCACAGAATTCCTGAGTAGCCTGTTCTATTACTTCGCTTAGAAATTGTAAAATCAGCCGTTGTGAGTGTGTAATCTAACAAATAAATGTAAGGTTCCTGTGACGCCTATCAGCGCCATTCAGCCAATTTGGGATACCTAAATACAGAGATTTTCTGGTAATGAACAGTCCAAACCAAACGTATGGAGATAGAGTTCACTTGAACGAATAGAAGACGCCTGAATTACATCAGTAACATATCCAACACCTTGAGTTGTTCATACGAACTAGTTTTGATTACATTTGTTGCGTCATTTTTCTTTGCTTTTAGGGAATTTTTAAAACATTTAAAGAGCATTTTATTCATAATTTTTGGCGATGTTGTAAGTCATCAAAATCTGTCCCCTAAATATCACACGCGTCCATTCTTAGAACACCCCCCTTTGAATTACTTTAATACTGGCCAGACCCAGCCGACATTGGAATTCCAGAAGCTTGTTTCGTGTGTTTATAATGCCCGGGCACTTGCATTCATTGCCCATCCCAGACATCGGCAAAATTGCTGGGAATGTTCTAGTTGACACCCGATAGATACTCATCGTTGCCGGTAATTTTTAACTCCAGTATTTACCTCAAGGGAACATTACAACAACGGTCTCTACAATATTTATCTTTTAATCGAGATGTTCCTAGCTTCGCGAGTAATAATAATAATAATAATAATAATAATAATAATAATAATAATAATAATAATGTCTGTATTAATGGCGAAGCTCAGGCCATAGGGATCTGATTAAGATGGAAGTTGTCGGCGGACTTCATGTTGCGAAGCATTAAGCTGGCGTTCTTTCACATGCCGCAATTGCGACGTGGACTAGATTATCCCCCGTTCGAAAATCCAAGCATAGCCCGGGGCTGAGGGTAAGCCAACCACTCGCCCACGGAGGCGCGCATTGCAAATTTACTTGTTTATTTATTTACGGCAAACGCAATTAAAAACTGTGGGTGACGTGCTTTGGGGAGAAGTTAAATTGAAGTTACATTTATGTCCAGAAGTAAAACAAAGGGCCATCTCTGCATTTGCTCGAGGATCAGGGAAACTGGACGAAAACCTGATCGACATGATCATTGACCTTCAAGCTGAAGTACTATACTTGTTACAGGTTCTTTAGAATTATACAATCCAAATGGTAATACACTAAATGTTGTAGAAAAAATTAAATACTTTCCTTTAGGATCATGGATAGTCTCTTAAGTGATATAGAAAAACAATTGTGCAGCAAGGAAAGATTTCACTTGCGACTAAACTTTATGTATCGAATTATATCGTTTAATGTCATTGGCAAGGTGTTGTAAAACAATGTATATGTATGTGAATTGTATGTGATTTTTTGGTAGTTTGTTGTTGATACTGTTTCCTGATGAATATAAGTACTACATTGAGTATTGTAGTTCTAGATATCAGCGTTTGCTGGAAATATATTCCGCTCTTAAGTCATTTTTAACAAAAAAAAAACACTGATTCATATATCAAGAGACAAGGTAATGGTCAGATACCTAGATTAATAAAGAGAAGCTTGCAAGAATCATGGGAGGGATTTGCTTATTATTCATATGATTCTTTTTTTGTAATATAAAAGTTTGGGAGCTATAAGATGTATTTCCCCAGAATATTATGCGATATCTCAGGGGGGTATGAAAGTTCGCGAACAACGAGCAGTGTGGAGGTTGACTGAATTCGAAAAGTATTCTGAAAGCGAAGCAAATGGTACGGCGAGAGCACGCGCCCTTACCCTGAGAATTCCTCTGCGATGAAGGTCTCGGTGAGCGATTTCCTCTTCGCGTGGCAGGGCTTGCAGGCGGTCGCCGCCGCGTCAGCTGGCCGCCTGGATCAATTAGTGCGGAAGGCTGGATTAATTAGTCAAACATTGCCTCGAGCGAACTCTACTCCTAATTGTAGAACCCCTGACTTAAGAGCTTGCAAATGGATGCGAAAGAGGTGTGTTCGGCTGGCCGTTGCAGAATTTCCATGGAAAGCCACAATGTCGATGGTCGACAGACAAGGCAACTAGGGAGTTCTACGATCCGGAACTATTCAACTGCCTGGAACACCAGTAGCTAGATTTTGTCTGTTTTGGAAACTCATCCGATATTGTTATATGGATGAGCAGATAATTGATCCGACCTGATATTGAGCGGATAATTGAGAGAAATTACGACTAAAGAAGACGATATCTGGAGTATTATTTTAATAATTTCATTGGACAATATGTCGGAAGTATACCATCGCGTGGACTCAAATGGAGGTCCTCCAGAATTACGGAACTTCATTGCGTGTTCCTCTATCATTCCAGTCCTGGAACACAGTTCTTTTTTTAACGTTTGTTCATTAAATATTTGTGGCTTTGATAGTGAACGTAAATTAAGTATGAGAGTTCGCATTAGTTTCCCAGAACATGCGTATTTTTAATTAATGTTTTGGATTCAAAATTTGTTTCATGTGAATAATAATAATAATAATAATAATAATAATAATAATAATAATAATAATAATAATAATAATAATACATGTCGGAATCAAGAGCTCACAACACAAATCTACTTATAATGCATTGTTATTTTACAACACATTGCCATAGGCCAATTAAAGTAGATACAAAAGAATAAAAACATGGGTCCCCGACATTTTCTCCTCGCATACAACCTCTCACCTGCGGCCTCGAGTTGTAAGCAAGAAGAACATACCTGCAGGCGCTACATTGACTACTCTCCTGCCTTCTATGAGTAAAGTAGAGAAAATAAATTGATTTTTTTCGCGTAGGAGAACTCGCGGTACCCAAAATAATGTTTACGCAATAAGATCGTACAAGTGCTTCGTATTTTCTCGTACAACATTTCACGCTTAAATTTTCAGATTGTTATGCGAGCGGATAATTGATCCGACCTGATATTGAGCGGGTAATTAAAAGAAATTACGACTAAAGAAGCCGATATCTGGAGTATTATTTTATTCGGAGCGTTCCGCCCCCGAATACATTTCCATCCCACTTGAAACCATGAGTGTGTGGAATTGCGGGACAGCGGCAAGGCATTGATTGGCGAGAGATAGATGGCGTTGTGCGCGCGCGCGCGAGACGAGGGACGCGCAGCGGGGCGGGGCGCGGAGTGCCCGGCGAGTGGGGAGGGGGCGCGGGGTGTGGCTCGCCAGGGCCTATACTGCTGCGGTTTTCGCAACTCAGCCCCAGGCAGGTTTAACTCGCGCAATTTTTCTTGAACTAGCAACCCCCTCTCTTGTCACAATAATCAGGTGAAGGCAGAAGCTCGCAGCGAGCACTGATGACAACATTCCAAACGCATTTTAACTGGTGCGAAATAAAAACAATTTTATTTTGAAGGCGAGAACTTCAATCCGTTATTTTCTCCAAAAATTTTAAAGAAATGAATCAGGTAAAGATATATCAGAAGAGATACTTCGACCTTCTGAGAAAGATACACGCAAATTATTGAAAACGTTGAGTAGGATTCTACAGAGTTTCGTAGTGCTTCATAAAATCTAGTGGGCAATTTTCTAATACTCCCACTCTAACCGCATTTCTTCAATTAATCGTTCAAGAAAAGTTGCGCGAGTAATATCAGGTATTGACAATTTTATCCAATCGGGAGCTTGAGTGACTTTCAGTGACGTCAGTGTTGTGACGTTCAAGCTCCCGATTGGACGAAACCGTCAACAGCTGATATCTGCCCGGGGGGAGAGTTGCATTAATCGCATTGTGGTGCGTGTGGACCCGAGGAGTTGGGCGCTC